TATCACGTGATTGTACTTGTGTTGATTAATTTACAACCTCCATTTGCATCTCATTTGCATCTCAATTTTATTTCAGTTTAATTTGAAACCTCCATTTGCATTTCATTTGCATCTCAATTTCATTTCATTTTTCTTTCATAATGTAATAGTTTGCCACACTTTTCTTTCTCCCATTAAAGTAGCTAGCTGCACCATTTTGTTGTCTAGTTGCAGCAAACATTATAGCTTTGATGCCATTGCTCCAACACTCCTCCTTGGCATAACAGCTGTGTGAAAAAAAAAAAAGTTCACCTTGCATCAAAACCTGCCATTTTTCAACTTCTTTGTGCTTGGTGTTGGTTATACCTCCATTATACATTCTTTGCCATGAAGTTGTGGGAGTTTAGAGCATCAAAGCCAAATCCATGAACAGTTTTCTTGGGAAACTCAAAACATATCCTTAGCAAACATAAAAGTTGGATCAAGAACATAACATGAAATTGAGTTCTCTGTGCTCAGTTTCTCATTCCATCAACAATGATTTGCCTTTGGACTAATTTTGGAAACAGACATGAACACCTTCTCTTTCAATCCAGCTCTCCTCTCCTTGACATCTCCCATGGTGGGACTAACACATGCCTCCATCTTCACAGCCTTTTTTGGTGCAAGATTTTGGCCAAGCTAGAGGGGTTTCGTGTGAAGAACCATCTGAAAACGTTGAGCAAGGTGGGGTTTTTCTAGTGTTCCCCCAAAAAACAAACTCTCAAAGTGAAGAAGTTTCTAATATGGTGAGGAAATCTCTAATAATAAAAATCTCATGATAACATAGCAATAACATAAACAAAACAAAAGATAAGTGAGAGAGAGAAGAAGACATGATATTACGTGATTTGGGATAGTGCCAGAACATCATGATGTATCAAGGCCCCTAGTCTGCGATACAAAGGCCTCTGTGGGCTTTGCACGTTTATTTCTCTTCACTTTTTTCTTACATATGAGCAACCATATTTATAGGATAAGGGATATATAATATAAAGAAATAATAATTAACGAGAAATATTTCTATTAATGAGATTACAATTATTATCAAATTCTTGAAATCAATCATTTGATAGATTGATTTCTTATGATTTGATCAATCTTAATAATGGCATGATATTTTTTCCTTCTATAATAAGATACTATTCTTTCTTCCTTATATATTAGGATCAATTATATGATCCTCTTTATCACAGGTCCCTTAAAAATTTAGCTCTCATACCATGTTAGAATTTTGAGGTAAGAAGAAGGGGTTGAGAGAGAACTTGGAGGAGAGTAAGAGTAGAACTTAGAACATAAATTTGACATATTCGTGAAAGGGTGCAGACATTCACCCAACTGGGAGGAGAGGAGAAGTTCTCCAAATCTCACTCCTCGATTTCCATTAACATCTCTTGCCCATTCATAACAGAAAATTCAATATAAAAACTATGTTTCTCTACAAAATCTATCCTACCATTTAATCAAAGATACAATACATAAACAAACATAAACAATACATTGAAATACTATCAAATGGCTGTACTTTTGTTGACAAATTTGCTGCCTCCATTTGCATTTCATTTGCATTTGCATCTCATTTGCATCTCACTTTCATTTCATTTTTCTTCCATAATGCAACAGTTTGCTGCATTTTTCTTTCTTCCATTAAAGCAGCTTTGTTGCTGTACATTTTGTGCCATAAATTCAGTTTCTTGCTGCACCATTTTGCTGTCTAGTTGCAGCAAACATTACAACTTTGATGCCATTGCTCCAACAATTTTTATACATTTACATGTTATAAATAGGTGAGGTGTTCCAACATATATACCTAGCAATTCATTTTCTTACCATCTCTATCATTCTTACATTTTCTTAGAATATATTGCTGTCAATCTTAGATAACGTCCATTAGATAAGTTCTGTAGGAAAATTTTCAGAAATGCTGTTTGCAGATTTTTTTAGGTGAATTTTTATATATTAAAAGTGATTTTCTATATATTAACACAGTAACAAACTCTTTTGAGTGATGAGGTGCAAATATCATGCGCCTTAATTTAAGGACAGTGATTAATCACGCCTTTGAGCCACTCATTATCGACTCCTATACTCGCTTTCCCTAACATTTGTGAGTGTTTGTTTCAGGAAATGAGGCTGTTGAAGGTAGCAACTTCTAACCTGAACCAATGGGCAATGGATTTCGATTGCAATTTGAAGAACATAAAGGCATCCATGGCAAGGGCTAAAGAAGCCGGTGCTGTTATCAGGCTAGGCCCCGAGCTTGAGATTACTGGCTGTGGCTGTGAAGATCATTTCTTGGAACTCGATACAGTAACACACGCGTAATTAAGCTCAAATTCCCTTGTTGGTATACTTGTCATCTCGAAAGCATGATATATGTTTGGCGTGCTGTGTTACGCATGCATTACTTGGTTTGCTTTGCTTTGCAGGTGGGAGTGTTTGAAAGAAATATTGGTTGGTGATTGGACTGATGGCATATTATGCAGCATAGGAATGCCTGTTATTAAAGCGTCAGAGCGATCTAGTTGTCAAGTTTTATGTTTTAACAGAAAAATCATTATGATACGTCCAAAAATGTGGCTTGCAAACGATGGAAATTACAGAGAACTTCGATGGTGTACAGCATGGAAGCATAAACACCAGAAGCATAAACACCAGCTTGTCGACTTTCAGCTCCCACATCAAATTTCTCAGGCTTTGTCGCAAAAATTAGTACCTTTTGGCTATGGATACATTCAATTTATTGACACGTCACATAAGAAACAGCTAGTTCACTATTACTATCTTTTTAAAATTTTACTCCGTTCATGTATCTATAATATAGTACGCTGTTTTGCAGTCCACACCTTGTGCATACCGTACAACCAAAGCTCCATGGTCAGTGAGTTCCAATGGGGTCATGTGGCAACCCCATCAATCGTCACAGGACCTCGTTGATCTGGGGCTGCTCCTAATTTTGTAGTTCAAGCAGGACTAACTCTATCTATTGCTTTTTTAATACTCCTATAGAGCTGAAAATTGGAGAACTTAAGATGTAGGATAAGAGAAAATAAACATGAATTCAAGATTCAACTTCAATTGACATAAACATGTACATAAGATTTGGAGAACATGCATTGAGTTTTCTGGTATAACTCAGCAAACATAAACATTAAGCGTATCTATTCTTTTACAGAGAAAAATAGCAACTTAAAATATGACAGTTACTAGAACATAAAGGAGTTAAGAAACTAAAAAATAAATTAAAAAAATAAACTGCAACTTAAAACATGACAGTTACCAGGATATGAGGAGTTAAGAAACTAAAAAATAAATTAGAAAAAATAAACTGCAAGCACATAACTGTGAAAAAATAACTTAACAGACTTGCTCTCAACACATAAACAAAATGATAGTAGAGATAAAATTGCATAGTCGTGGATTGTATATGTTGCTTATCTTCATTTTAATTGTTTTCTATTATTTTATCTTATAGAGCTGTTGCGGTAGAAGTTAGTGAGGAGCTTTTTACAGCAATTCCTTCACATGCGGAGTTCGCATTGAATGGGGGTTGAAGTTTTCATGAATGCAAGTGGAAGTCACCGCCAGTTAAGGAAGCTAGATCTTCGTCCCCGTAATTTTGTAAGTGCAACTCAGACTCGTGGAGGGGTTTATATGTACAGTAACCAACAAGGATGTGATGGTGGCCGATTTCAGTATTATAACCTTTACACTACACCCCATTACTCCATTATATATATCACCCCCATACATATATGAATATCAGTAGAAAAATCAGTTTGGTGTTTAAATTTTCAAACAAATTTAATCTACAGATGGTTGTAGTTGTGTGGTTGTAAATGGAGAAGTGGTCGCCTAAGGTTCACAGTCCTCTTTGAAGGATGTAAAAGTTGTTGTTGCTCAAGTAGATCTCGATGTGGTAGGCATGTTTGGATTTCCTTTTCTTTCTTTCTTTCATTTTTTTTTAATATATACATATAGAGAGAAAAATGCATATTAGTCCTGACTCCCAAAAAAAAAAAAAAAAGGAGTTCTAACCTTAAATTACTCATTAAGAAAATGGATATGTAACTTTCCAGCCCACTGAAGGTCAGTTAGAATATAGTCCGTGCGGAATTGAGCTTAAAGTCTTAAACCATTGATCAATTGAAAATCCATATATTGGTCCTAAATATTTTGCTTGTTTGTCATTATCACTTATTAAGAAATTTTATGAACTGCAGACCATGTATCACTCCCCTGAGGAGGAAATAGCCTTCGGACCTGCCTGCTGGCTATGGGACAATCTAAGGAGAAGTGGCGCTTCTGGGTTTTTGCTTCCTCTTTCTGGAGGTGCAGACAGCTCCGCTGTAGCTGCCATAGTTGGGTGCATGTGCCAACTAGTTGTCGAAGGTTAGTTTTCATTCAGTGTTCTTGTGCGGAGTGACGAGTCTTCTTCATATCAATTACTTAAATTGGGCACATTCGTAATTATTAAAACAAATTTTTTGGTCATGAAATGGGTTTCGAAATTGCAAATGGAGATGAACAAGTTAAATCTGACGCTATACGAATTGGAAATTACTCTGATGGTCAGTTTCCCATAGACAGTAAGGAATTTGCCAAGCGCATTTTTACACAGCATACATGTGCTCTTGTTAGTTTCTGCAATAAACTAAAGAACATACTAATCTGAAATTTGTGAGCTTCTAGGATGTGGAGCTCTGTTTCATTTCAGATTGATAACTAACATACAAAAGGAGTTGCTGAATATATGCAACTTATACATAACAGTTTCTGCATAAAAGATAAAAAAATAACTACTCCTAATGCAGCTAACTTGTAGAACTAACTGCAGAAAACTAAAAAACAGTTTCAAATTAAAAAGCATAACTGCTGCTAGCTGATATCTTCAACAGCTCTGAAAATAAGTAAGTGTACACATACAAAGCTCCTCTTGTTTTAACTTACATTAGGTGGTGCACTAAAAATATTTCATTTCTGGCAGTTCTGAAGCCACAAAGAAGCGAGCTAAGACACAAGCCGGTGAGATTGGTTCATGGCATCTGGATGTTCGCATTGATGGTGTTGTTTCTGCTCTCCAGTCTCTGTTTGAGACGCTTACTGGAAAACGACCAAGCTTTAAGCTTAAAGAGGCCGGATTGAATTGAAATCTTAGTTACTTCCTGTTTCTTTTTTTCTGAAGCTTAGTTTTAGATACAAAATTAGTGCTAAATTAGTGCTCGATCTCCTCCTTTTTCCCAGGTGGATGGAGGATCCAATATTGAGAACTTGGCATTGCAGAACATTCAAGCTCGAACCAGAATGGTGCTAGCTTTTATGTTAGCTTCACTTTTGCCTTGGGTTCACAATAAACCAGGGTTTCATCTTGTTTTGGCTGGCACAAATGTAGATGAAGGATTGCGTGGTCACCTCACAAAGGTAGTAAATGTGCAATTTAAAATATGGCAGGTTGTCTAACTTGTGTTTCTAATTGCATGTTATGGTAGGTTTACTTTTAAATCTCCTTTACAGTATGATTGCAGCTCGGCAGATATAAATCCAATTGGAAGTTTTAATAAGCAAGACCTTAAGATGTTTCTCCGATGGGCTCTGGAGCCTATTCGTTCCAACTACCGCCAAGTATTATCTCAGATTCTCAGTCATCATGCACAATATAGTTTTTGAAGTTTCTACTGGCTGGGTTTCATATATTCCTTTTAATACTACATCCTACATGATACAGGTGGATGAAGTGGACATAGGAATGACATATGAGGAACTATCTGTCTACGGACGATTGCGGAAAATGCTCCGTTGTGGTCCTGTATCAATGTTCAGGGTTTGACATTGAACTCATCTGTTCTGGGTCGTACTTGTATATGCCCATTCAGAGCTTTAGACAATGGAATTCTGCTCTTCTGTTGGCTTTGTTGCAGCTAGCTATATACATATATATACTTATCTCTATGGTACCATGTTGGATGTTGCAGAACCTGTGCGATAGATGGAGGGAAAGACCAACTCCATCAGAGTGGCCCATAAAGTGAAACACTTCTTCAAGTATTATTCCATCAACCGACACAAAATGACTGTATTAACGCCATCCTACCATGCTGAGGTGTGTCAAACTAAAACAACTGCAAAGTTTGTCATTCTTCAACAAGAGAAAAGACAACTTATATTTTGCCTTCTTTGTTGCAGAGTTATTAACCGGAGGATAACAGGTTTGATCTCCGGCAGTGCTTCTATAATACGAGATGGCCATATCAATTCCGATGGATGGATGAACTTGTTAGAGAGTTAGAACGCGATGACGTTGCATTTAAGGAATCAAGCGACCACGAAAAAATCGGCAGTGGGATAAGAGCTATCGCAGCATCTTCTGGCAATTCCATAGCTCCTCTTTCATAGACAATCGTACAATTTCTAGTGCAACTTTTTTCTGTGGAAATGCTGTTTCTCTTTTCTTGCCGAACGGTTCACATGGTCTGATTCCATACCAGGCCAGGTAAGCTTTTTTCTCTATCCCCCTTTTTTCCTTTTTCTTTTTTCTTTTTTTTTCTAAGAATAAAAGAAAATTAACAATTAAAAAAAGAATAAACTTGTATTTTGTAATATGACTTTGTTACCTATTTTGAAAGAATTAATTTAATAATCAGTCTAGTGCTTTTTATATTTTTTTTATTTTATCTATTATATTAAAATATTTTTAGATCCATTTATTATTTTTTACTTTTATTTTAATTTAATTTAACTTATTAATTTTCTAACAACAATTTTATTTTGTTTGACCAAATTGATTTTTAACTATATCCTTTATAACTTTTACTCTTGATATTAATTTTGAAGTAAAATTAATTTTATAAGTATAATAAATTTCTTTTTATTATTTGAGAAATTATAACCTCTACCACATGCTGCTTAACTTCCTTTTGACAATTCTCTTTTGTATTGAAAACCATAATTATTAACATATTTTAATAATTTACACAATTTATCCTAAACTATTTTACTAATTGAGACTGTTCTGTTTTTTTTTTTTAAATTTAATTTTACCATTATTTTTCTAATAAAGTTAATGAAAATTTTATATAGTAAACTATTCTAAAATATTTTATAAAATTTATAGACCATTTAAGGAGAAAATTAACTTTTTAGATTAAAATAAAATTATATTAATAGTTAATTCGCTAATCATAAAATTATGCATATTTTGGAAATTAGAAGTTTTGGGGTTCAACTCAACAATATTACACACATCAATAGACACTATTAAATGTAAATGAAAAATTTTAATGAATCCACAAAAATAGAATTTATACTAGGGGTAATTCTCTGCAAAAAGATATACAGAATGAATTAGGATTCCTGTTTTCTCTGCCATAACCAATTTCAGGCCCTCAAAGAAGAAATCTTTTCGCACATTTGAACTCAGCCGGCCACTTTTCATCTCAAAATCATTAATAGGGCACCTACAAGTCTAAACAATACTTCCTCTTGCAAAAGATCAATGGCAGGTCACTGCCACCAATTCCTCAAAGAGGTGGGACTAACAAACCCCCAACACACTACCGTCAGTACAATACTAATTAGTGATGCGGATTATACGCTAAGCTCCCTCAGCTACAAATATCAGGGGACTGCAAAAGCATTGATACGCACAATTGTCAAGCAACAAACTATATCCTAAATTATCAGAATAATAAAAGCATCTTAAAACAAAACTTTACCTGCTTAAAAACCAGTTAGCTGATCAAGGACCCAGATGTTCTCGTTTTTCTTGACTGAATGACGAGAGGCGATTCACAAGATCCTCCTTCAACGACTGAGGTACTTTTGAAATAAAAGATGATCTTGCATCAGCAATCAACTTCTTCCTGCATGTCAGTCATGAAGTGGTGAATCAGAATTCCCAATTCATTCAATGAAAATAACTCATATAACATGGGAACAGATTGACAGTGAATACCGCACAAAATGAGAATTTGTAAAATTTAGCATACAAAACTGAAACTGTACTTTGCTGTTAACAGAAGTGTTCAAGACTCAAGTTTGTGACCGATAAAGGATGGCTTTTTTTCTTTTAACAGCAGAAAACAGCATAACAAAACAGGCTACATAAAAGTGCTTGCTCTTCTTAATAGAAATGGGATTTACTTGATTTAGAATACAGCTAGCTATCCCAAGTATAAATGTCACGTAATAGTGTAAGAAAGAAAGACTTACTTCAAATCACTGCCACTCTCAGTGTTTCCACCCTCTCCAGCACATAACCTCCTCCTTGATCGCATAAAACTGTAAACTTCATCAATCCAGCCACAGGATCTCAAAACTGAAGAAGCTTTGTTCCTCAAACTGTTGGATCAATGGGAAAGGAACAAACACAATAAAATACCAAATTTGATAAGTCAACTTCTAACAAGATAAATGGGATTAAGAATATTTAAAGTGCAAAAATATAATAATTAATAATATAATATAATAAAAACTAAGATTGTCAAAGTCGGTAATTTCACAACTTAGATTGCATTTGTAAATAGTGTTATAAGCCTACAACAGGACATTATATCAATTTAATATGAAGATAAAAACATTGCAATTAAGCCAGGAGCTTTCTGCTAATCCAATCAGAGAAACTAATATAAAGAATCAACATTGCTCATCTATAATTCAGTTCAGTCCAGAAAATAACTGCAACTATTGGCCTCTAATACAAATTGCAATATGGTGAAAGATCATCATAATCCAAATACCTATTCCTTAGTTTCCAAATCAGCAAAATAAAAAATGGAATGAGAGAAGAAGAAGAAGAAGAAGAAGCTTCCAGCATGTGAAAAAATCAGGATAATAAATCAATTTAATGAAAATAAAATGCATAATTGGGAACAACTATAAAGCACTTCTTGACTAGAGCCTAATCAACTGAAGATATTCAACTAAAAGAAATCTTCAAAGCAATTAAGATAGAATGTGGCTTACACAGCTTTTAGATTTTCAACTTCTGCACGAGATTGAGCATCCTGCACAAGCAAAACGCAGGAGTCCTCAGGTTTTCTCTTGGACCTTAAATCAGAGAAGCACTTGACACCACCATTCATCAATTCATGGCAACCAGAGCTCTTTCCTATGCCCTCCATATTCCTGGTACCATTACCTTCAAAATGGCCTGATTTTGCTGCATGTGAATTCTGCGTGCCACCATTTTCACTTGCTAATGCAACCACTTGGCCATTTTCACTCTCTAATGCAACCACTTGGCCATTTTCACTAGCTAGTGTATCCAACTTTCTGCTATTGTCAGAAAAATCCCTGTAACCCATTGATGGTGTATCTTTCACATTCTTCTCAGAATGAATTGAGATCTTAAAACCACCATTAGTAACCCCATTCTGAGCCTTGTGTAAATCTACTCTTCCATTAACAGGAGAAACTCTTTTGGAACCTGATTTTTCAGAAATGTTAAACTTGACCTGCGAACTTGAAGACATTTTCCCAACATTTGATTTGGTCAATGTCTCCTTCCGAGGCAATTGCTCAACCGTAGCATTTATATTTCCTGATTTTGACTGATCAGAAACATTCGGGGATTTTGACACCTCATTTCCATTAGAATCATGAGTTTTCAATCCCCTAGAAGCAAAAGTGGTATAGGCAGACCTTGGCCTTTGGTTAGCACGAGAGAAGAAAAGAATGTAAACCTTCTCTGACAATACCTTCTGCCGAGTGGAAACTGAGACAGATGAATCATCACAGCAATACCATCTCCCAATTGCATCCTGTAGACAAACAGAGAACCCATGTTACCAAAATACAGATGGAAGAAAATAGAGCTTCAAATAAATAACAGATATAGATGGAAGAAGTAGAATAACTTGAGAATGACCTTAATATATGCATAATAATGACCAGATTCTGGTGAATATCCTGAGTGCACAATAGTACCAAAAAGGTTATACTCTGGCTCTGGATCCTGCATTGATAATAATCAACAAAATTATCAAAAACATGAACAGTACATCATGCAAGGAGCAAGAAGAAACAAATTCTTAGTACAGCATGAGACTCAAAGGCAATAACAAACTATAACAGGCAGATACATACAAGAACAAAAACTTCTTGCATCTCATTCTCATGGATTCCATGTCAATCAATACAACGCTTTTGCCCTCCTCACTCTATAGAAGGAACAAAGCACTCAAGGACACTACATTAAAGTATTATGATAAAGAAAAGGAATACAGGCAATGGACTTTCTCAACAATGATAATCAAGAGCCATCACATGCCTACACCATTTGCTGTCTCAGTAGGAAGTAGGAAAATCAGCCAACCAGAAAAACAGAGATGGCAAAAATCAATTACTCAGCAAAACTGAATGGCTTATCTAGTGCTTTGCATTAGGAGTTAGTGAACCGAGTCATACAAGCAATAAGCTTTGGACCATCATCCAAAAAGATTGCATGATGATGATGGACAAACATCATCACCAACAATACAAAGATTGCCTAATGATGATGGACAAACATCGTCACAGAAGGGTAACTGGAAGGTAACTGTCCCATCTAATATCTTCTTTTTCAGGTTGGCAAGCATGTAATTTCCTACTATGATCTACAAGCAAATTTCAAAAGGTAATGAGATTCGAATGTTACATGAAGATATGATAGCTCCAACTTTCTGAAAAACAAAAAATATCTTCTAACACCATAGCTTGCCCGGAAGTACTTAGGCATCTGGTCCCTGGAGAACCATACTAGCCAGAAGAGAGAATAAAAACAAAAAATAAAAAAATATCTCAACCATTTCTTTGGCCATTACTTATTTGCCTTGACAATTTAGAGTTGCATCTCTGTAGATAATTCTGGAACCAACAAGTAAAGAACTGACATTGTCAATTTGTAAGGATTGGTCTAATAAACTCTAACAGGGACTTGAGCTGGGGGAAGTCAATCATTCTAGTGCTATGTTTTCCTTTTGGATTAGAGGAGCATATTTTTTTAGGTGGAAAACCAAAGCACAAAAGCAGGTTAGAAATGCTAGTTTACATACAATATTCATCATGACTTATCAATGTTACTCTTCCTACAGGATATTTTTAGCTCAGTTGTTACTCAAATCATTATCATCCATTATGGTAAAATGAGCATGAAGAACTTATATACTAGAGTAATAATTACTTGCACCAATGAGCCAGCATATTCATCAACATCAAATCATACCTGGCTTACCTGGCTTGCTTTGCACATGAAACTCGAAAGGACCAAAACTTCTTCCAATGCAACATCCTTATCAATCTTTACACCAAATATGCCTCCAAATCTCTATGAAATACCACAATCACTCCTTTAATTAGAAGCAGCAAAAAACTAACTCTAGAAACCACGATAATTACAACACAAAGGCTTAAAATGAAAGAAATAGCCATGACCTACCTTAAGTTGGATTACAAGGATATTAGGAGCTTGATGTATAGACATTTGCTTCCTAGCTGCCACCAATTTCTTACAACTAAACAAGCATAAGTTTCTTTTTCAAAACAAATGGACGAACATAAACAATAATCTTAAAGTGTTTAATCACAGAACTACTTACCTCTCGCATTTGTATTTATTGTTGTCATCTAAAAGCTCAGGCTGGAAGAACTTGTGCATTGCATCCTTAAGCGAACTACTGTGCGCTATATCAAGACTGATATCCATAATCTCATCGAGTTTATTCGACTCAGCACCACATGACAAACATTTAACTTGGCTCTGTAGAGCACCGCCAAAGATCTCCTTAACAACGGTGTTCCCATTGAAGGGCTCGCTGCCCTTGCGCTGCAATTTCTTGAGACGCAAGCAGGTGTTATGGCAGGCATCGATGACATACCGCAAGAACTCATGCGCATCCTCCTGGCGACCGCACCGGAAGTGCTCTGCAAAAATCCTGAACCAACTCTGGATCGCAACAGGCTCGTCTTGGGTGAGATCCACGCTGAGGGAGCGCACAATCTGTTTCTCAAGCAAACAGAACGGACAGTCGCGCTTCCTATCGGCGTTGGAAGTCGAATCGCACGAAGACGAGTGCTGATACCGAAGGCAGAAATTGGCAAGAGGAGGTGTGTAAGTGAGGCACTGAAGAACGCTGTTGAGGTAGCAGGAGTTGCCGAGGTTCCTTAACCCTATCGGTGGCCCCTTCTTACGCTTCCCACTAATCAGACTCCGCTGCCCCGTCATCTGCAATTCCAGTCCCATTAACGGCTATCCCTCTCCGATCTCTCATCGGACCGCTGCCTACACATCGCATACCTCTCCTCCGCTCTTTCAATTGTTCCGACCTCTCATTCCGGCCAAACTCCGGTAAGAAAAAGCCGGAGATTTCTATTTAGGAGTGAGCAATTGGTGTGGCAACAGCAGCACCACCGCAAGGAGGGATTAAGCCATCACCCACCAAATCCCCTGTGCCTCCGACGACGAAGACTCGTTCAATTCCCCCTCTCAATATTTGGAGTCTTTGTCTGAGTCAACGTCTACGGCTTTGGACTTCTTCATTTTAAGGCCTATTATCATTGTTTTATTATGGACTCGTTGGGCTTTAGGGTATACATGTTTGTTTTGTCTGTCATTCAGCTTGGACGATCCAGATTCCGGCCCAAAATGAAAAGACAGTTTTATTCACTTTAGTCGTTCAAATTCTTACTCGTGTTCAAATTGGTCTTCCAACTTAGAAGCTCTCCATTTTAACTTTTACTAATAAATAACTGTTAGTTTGGTACATTTTGATTGGCGTTTAGGAAACATGAGAACCTAAATAAACATCCCTTTTACATGCAAGAGGAGACCGAATCATATGGCTGATGGGGTAAATGTGGCTGAATTGCAGGAAGATTCTATATGGCTGATTCATGAATACAACAAAAAAACAAACTTTACACAAAAGGGGAAAGATCAGAATATAGATCAAGACTCAACAGTACCTCTGTTAATGTTTTCTGCTATAATGAATTGATGGTACATCTTAGAAAGATCTCTTCCACCTCTCTAGCCACTGGGGCAACTTCATACTGGCACAAAAATAAGCCAATGCAGGAGCTGTTGCAGAATCAGTAGAAAGAGATGGTTTCAAGGTACAGAGTGATCTACCATGCATTTTTCTTAATGTAACACAAGGCCACAAACGTGTAAACCAAAGAAATGATCATCAATGGATCTTAAACAAAACTGGGTAACATTATGAACAGCTCAGCTTAAAGCAATTACATACCTCAAAATAATCCTGGCAGATTATTTATTCTCTTTAACTACCTATCAGGAGATGAGGCTTCAGTCAATGGTGAGGCTTCAGTCAATGGTACCGCTTCAGCTTGTTGTAAGTCCTTAGAGCTGACTCGAGAAGCTTCCTTCTTCAACTTGTGATTATTATATGCAGCTACACCAGCAATGGCTACATAAAACGAATAAAAAGAACACAAACAAACAAGGAAGAATTTATATACAGTCAGCCACTGCAAATTCAACAAGATATTTAACAGTCCTAAAGCAGAAGAATCGCCAAGTCATACAAAAGAACTGAAGCTTAGGATTACATCAGATAATTCCTGCCACACTACTGGTTTAGGGGGACCTATCCATAGAACTTCATCCAGTTTTAAACTCATTATTAAACAAGTTTAGTGCTCAGGTTAGAGAAGGGTCTCAAATCTGATTGTACACAGGACAGCCCAAAAATTATATATCACCTAAAGGCTAAATTTTCAGTTAAAGAAAGGGTGAACAGAATAAAATGAAAAACAGATCTATCTACTGGCAGATAGATGTGCATCTCTTTTGCAAAATTGTAACAGATTTGGCATTTGTAAAACATATATTATATGTTAGAAGGAGCCACATTTCTCCTTAAAATTTGAAACTATTTTATTTTGCATACCTTACTTTAATCATAATTTCACTATCATGTTTCCCTCCTGATTTTAAACAGATTCTCAACCCTGGATAGTCCTCAATTGTGGTATAATAATAAGAATGCATTCATGCATGTTACTGTAGATCAAGCACTAGGACTTTGCAAGCATGTGAGCGCACACACACATTCAAGAACTTACCAATGCCATAACCACAAAGATTAATGATTGTCAACTTTGTATCCGCAAATAAGAGGGCAGACAGTAAGACAACAACCCAATCCTTGACAACTCCAGCAACACGTATAGTCAGAGCACTTGTGTGCGAGATAACTAAGAAAACTGACAAGTTGAGTGCAAATGTGCAGAGAGAGTTGAGTGTTAAAATAAGAGGTTGAAAGTTCCATGTCCCATGGGCTTCCATTTTCGGTTTCTCTAGAAAGATCCAAGGAATGAACAGGCAGATGGCACTGCAAACAAAAATGATTTTCAATAATGGCATTAATTCTATATAGTGAAAAAAATAAAATAAAATGTTGTAAGATAATGATGGAGCACTGGGTGGTAGAATAAAGGTAATACATGCCTGCAGGGACTAACGTAATACATGACAGATATAGGGTTTAATTTGAGACCCTTTCGCTTGACTAGAATCTCCATGAATATGAGTCTTAAAGCTTCTCCAACAACACCACCCATTTGGTAAACGACTCCAATCCAGTTGATCTCTATTTCACCATAAGAAGCCACTAGAACACCAAAACTTATCACCAACATTATCAAAAGCATTCTGTAGCTCATAACCTCCAGTCCTGCTGCTACTCCAAGAATGAAAACAGCCACTGGCACTGCAAATATCATTCAAGAAATTTAAAGATAATACAATATATCAGCTAATTAATCAGAAGTCTTTTGATTGAATGCTATGCAGTAGAGCTGATTTGGCACACAGTTTTGCTAGTAGCAAAGTATACCTTTGGCGCTGCACCTTTTACATGGAAAGTTTATAAAATTTTCTAAATTAAATACTCTTTATGGAAAAAAAGGAGAAAACTGTAAAAGAAAATAAAGGGTTAAAATGACAATCCAAGAAGGAAAGTTTGCCATATAAAATGAGCAGAGGGGTTATGCGGCATGGAATTTGTTGACTAATTTCTTACCATGAAGGATGGTTGTTGAATCACCTAGGATTGTTCACCAACTAATATCTAAGATACAATTATTGCTGTCTCATTTTATGTGACAGTCGACAGGGTGTAGAGAAGGTGCAATATACCATTCGACTTTAGATTTAGTGTTTTTTATGTAAGAAAGTAAAAAATAGGGAAATAAGAAACTTAGGAGCTTAACAACCCAGGCTTGGCCTGGTTTGTTATCCCATCTTTGGGAAGAGAGATCTAAGATTTCAATCCTCACTTCCCCAGTCATCTTTCATGTACCACAGAAAGAAACTGTCACAGCTAAAACAGTAAATAACTCTACATTCATTTTAAAACAAGGGAAAGGACAGAGTACAAACAAGTAAAAAAGATCAACATGGTTTTCTAAAGTGTGTTTCCCTATTGAACAAGGGTAGAAAGAGTACTTACTAATTGCCTTGAGCATTTGCGCAAATGCAACAGAGATATACAGGTAGGCAGTGTTTCCCAGCCAAAGAGTCATCGCAAACATGGCACCAATTGGGATAACTGATGTAACATATCTGAACATGCACAACGTCATCAATTTAGGGTGAGGGTGAACATTTTTTTTTTTTTTTGAACAGTGAGGGTGAACATAAACATATATGTAAAAGTAGTCAAATATAAAGCAAAGACAGACAAGGATATCAACAAGCCAAAGTAAGTACAAGCCAGAAATTTCTTCGCAACTCTATACAAAAAAAATTAATTAATTAGTTAATTAAGGATTCATAGAGCCATTAACCATTTTATGATGGTAAAGAAGGAACATTGCTCAAAGGGAAGACAACCTGCTGTAAACATAAAGCAATCAAAAAAACAACAATACCTCCATGTAATCAACCATTGTTTGAAATATTCAATCAATTTATGCAAGCTAGGCAATCTTGCACTTAGAGATTCCCAACTTAAGATCAAAGAAGCTACAATTAGAGGTTTGTTGAAGCTGGTATAAACAAGGGAGAGTTGGACAATTATTTTGTTTCCAATATTTTCTTTTAATATAAGAACTCTTAGAACCATATTCATCTTCACCCAAAGCATTGTAGAATGGTTATTTGCACCCAATAACTATGAAAGATACTAAATAAAAATGCACTTTAAAGTATATAACCACAAGTACAAAAGAGAAAAAACTTTTGAAAACCAAATCTACGAGAAATGCAAGATAGCCTCTTTTGTCACTTACATTTCCATCGTCATCCCTTCCTCAACTTTCATAACCTGAGATGAAAAACAAATAATCATAAAGATTTCCCAAAAAAACAAATATTCAATTGCTAAATGGTTCAGTATGAAGTGGATACCTTGAAAACTTTGGTGAGTCCAAAGCATAGTACAGAGGAGAAGACCATGTGTAGTAGAGTTAATCCAAGGGGATAGGGAAAGTTTATTTCCTTAGATGACAAAACCCACTGCAGTTCAAATTTCAAAGAAGACCACATATCAGTCATTTTGATTGATTTTTATAATATCATTCTAAACACTACACCAGATTAAAGGGAAAAAATGACAAGAAAAGGAAAAATTTATGTCATTATGCTCAAGGAAACAACCTATTTTTGAACCTTTAAGAAAAAGAAAATGTGTTTTTAGTGTTAACAGCACACATGATGAGCAATGTTCACAAAGCATTCATACAATAAGAGGTAAATGGAGTAAAAGTAGTTATTAAAAGGCACCATACATATGAAATATTTATGTCTAAAGAAAAAAAATCAAGGAAATATGTTCTCCTTGATATCAAAAGTCAAAGAGGACGGATGAATTATTGCATGTCGATTTTAAACTCTCAAAAAAGCTACCTTGACTTGTTTATTTTCCCAAACAAGATTTCTTAGAATGTAGATCCACTTTGGAGTATTATGAACAAACAGGGATTGAGTAAACAAAGCATTGTTCTCCTCAAGCTGAATTGCAAAACATTTGATGCATTTTTGGAGTATATTTATTGGTTTGCACACTTAAAAATGAAAAGTAACCAATCAATCATATGACTATAAACATAATTCAGTTAAAATAAAAGACAAAGAAGACAGCCAACACTAGCCATCATACTAATATAATGACTTGCATTTCGCAAAACTAACTATTTAGGTTAAGCAAATAAAAAAATCAAAATCCCTGGGGAAGGGAATGTGTTTACAAAAAATGGTTTTGTCTGTAATAACTCAAGATTCATCCAGTTACCACAAGTTGTCACTTATCAAGTAACATATGAGTCCATAAAGAAAGAGACTAAAAGTTTAAGCCGCATAAAGTTCTACTCTACATACTTTAGTATCTATTTCGAAAGGATTATTCAAGCATATATCAGTATCGTTCCGTATCAGTGGTATCACCATTCATCCATTTTTAAGAATCTGCTTTTCAGTTGACATAAAGAACCAATTAGACCTTATTTCCCACTTACTTAAATTGCCACCATTAATTCCAAAGCACCCTCACTCATCTGGTAATTAGGAAACTAATTCCTTTCTAAACATGTCGAAAACAAATCAAGAACTTGTTCTTCCTACTTCTGTAGTGTCTTCCAAGAATATGAGAACTACATTTTTCCATGGCGAATAACAGAATCCCAGCCATAAGTTAATCTAATCTAAGCTTACATGGTTCTCGATTTGATAGTACCCTTGAATCGAAAAGGCATATAAAGAAAATGGAAGCAAATCAATTGACACAGACAGCAGAAAACGCAGAAAACAGACTTGAAATTGACAGATCCAGGGTGAAATGCGTGTAAATTGAAGAACAGGAAGAAGGAGACCTTGTTGAAGAAGATTTGACCGCTGGAGAGGGCGATGTAGAGGATGAGGTATGCGTAGGTTTTGACTTCTTCTTTCAACATTCTCCCTTCCCGATCCGCCATAGCCGGAGAGATGGATGCCCAGTGCCGTGCTCAGGAATGGAGGATAAGTAAATCAACTCATGACTTTCTAACTCAATTCTAAGTATTCTTAAATGGCCCCTATAGCATTAAGAAATTGATGATTTGATCCTTGATGTTATTTCTGTTTATTTTGAATCCTAACAGTGGTTTATTGTGAATAAGATTAGGCAAACCCTAATAGAAAAAGGTCCAAATAAAATGAATAAGGCCACAATTAACTGAGGTGACCATTTCTCTTATATATTCAACTTATCATTACACCACACTAACACATAATCACTTTATTTTTTTTTTTTTTGGTCAACACATAATCACTTTATTACCATCCCTTTGAGAGGAATAAATCTAATTTAATTTTGAGATAATTTTATAAATATTACAACTAATAAAACCTATTAAAAGACAAATTGTAGCCAATACCATTGAGTGTGAGTACAAGATTCCCTTGGTTATGGGTATTGGGCACATGGTAGTCCACGCCAAGCGTGCCAATGTTTCAACATATAATTTATTACAAAAATAAAAAATCAAAGCGTGTTGATTATGTCAAAATTTATTAAAAATTTAAAAATCTTAATTTATTTTATTTGAAATTTTTTATAATAAAAATAGATTTATATTGAGAATATATTATATACAATTTTTATTTCTCTTTCATACTCATTAAGAGAAAAATAATATACAATATTTTACAAAGCTTTTTAATTTTAAACCTTATTAATATAAATATACGGTAGGTCTTATCCAATAATCAACTCTAATTCCGCCCCTACTTGCGGTGGCACTCCGAAGTCGTAATGCAACCAGAGGCCTATACACGGCATCTCCTATAATGCAACTCACATCACCTCTGAAAGTTTCAACATATAAGGCTCCATCAACATTAACTTTATTGAAAGGAAACCATCAGAAGGTAGGCGCCATCTAATGCTGCGATGTCAGTGAACGATGAGACATTGAGACCAGAAATCATAATTTCGTACGGTATCATCAATTGGGCCAAAATACTGCATTATCACTACCACAAGCTGTTACTTAGGCTTACTTTTTGTCTAATAGGTTGGAGCCCTACCCTTTCCTTGTTAATAATTTATAACTACCCTAAAAAGATAAACTCCATACGTAAAAAAATTATAAATAATTGAGATTTTAGTTAATTTTTATAT